CCCATGTGAGCACACTCCTACCCCAAAGCACTGGGGTGCCCAAAGCACACAGTTCCGTGCAACAGATCTGCTGGCACCCCGGGCTGCCTGGTGTGCTGTGCTCACCAGCAGAGGCTGGCGAGGCCTGAGGCCGGCACTGGAGCTGCCCACACAAAAGGTGGGGGCTGTCTTTTATACAATGACCTGCTTCAGGAGCCTGAGAACAACAGAGAGGTTTCTCTGCTCCTCTACCTCCACATGCCCTGCCAGGGCATGGGAAGGGAGCAAAGCAGGGGGCACCACGGAGGGGGGCAGCCAGGCACTGGAGGCTTCCCAAGGGAGCTACAGCAATACATCCCAGTGGTGACCCCAGCCAGTGCCAAGCCTCAGCCCATGGGCAGAGCCGGAGGCTCTGGTACCAGCCCACGCAGGGCACCGGGGCCCCATCTGGGCTATCCACACACGGTTAGCACCTGAAGGGACTCAGCCTGCCTGGGAGGCATCCCAAGGGGAGTCTGGGACAGTTTGGCTGCCTTGGATGGCGAAGAAGCTGGGGAGGAGGACGGTGCAGCAAGCCTCAGAGCGTGGGCTCGCCCCGGTGTCCCATTGCCCTGGTAGGCAGACTGGGAGGCATGAGCCCACAACGGGGGCTCGCCAATGCCTGGCAGCTGGGTGTTGAGCCCACAAGGGTTGAGCAGGCACCAGCAGTGCCCCGCGTGGCCCTGCAAGCATCACTTACAGGAAGAGGATGATGCCTGTGTTGGCCATGGCATACGCCAGCCCCAGGATCCCGCTGCCCATAATGGCGTTGCTGAGATTGAACACGGACATCCCGAAAGACGTCTTCCCTTCAAACTGTGCATGAGACACAATGCAGGGACCGGTCACACCAGAAAACAGCCCCTGGCCACCTACCCACCAGCAAGACGCTGAGCCCCGTAGGGCCACGTTTTTGTGGGTTGCAAGAGGCGCGTGGCCCCATGCGGCCACAGCCCCTTGCCCAGGCAAGGCGAGAGGTGCCCGCCATGTCCTACTCACATCTGTGAAGTGCGTCTGCTTCTTCTCAGTGCCATGGGGAAGAAACTCCTCCAGCTCTGCTGCGCTGGACTGGTTCTCGTCAAACCTGGGGCAGAGCAGAGAGGAGCTGCCAACACCCTGAGCAGGCCAAGCACAGGGACCCAGCACCTGTGGGAGCAGGGAGAGCTACACAACTCAGCCAGGAAGCCTCTTGTCCCAAGGTCTATACCTGTCACCTGCCAGCGAGGGGACAGTGGATGTGTTGAGTGCTCCAGCATGCTTCCCGTTGGGCACTAGTTCCACCATCTCAGCCTGGATGGGCACCTCTGTGGCCTCCATGGTGGGGCAGGCGGAGACGGTGCTGAACTCACTGTGAGGACTCTTCACACTCTGGAAGAGGAGAGCAAATGGAGTCAGACCCTGAGCTGGAGGCCTGGGCTCCTGCGTCCAGGTTCTGGAGATCCAACCTGAGCCAGTGGCCCAGGAGTGTGGATTAACACTGATACTTGGTGTTTGTGAGTCTGAGGTGCTCAGCTAGGCAACACTGGAGTTCAATTTGCCCCTTTTACACACTTGGGAGAGAATCTGAGGGGTCTGAGTGCTGCCCTGAGTGCGCAGGAGCTTGAAATGATGCTGGGAACCCAGTGGGAACCCCTGTCTTGCATGACAAGCTCCCTCTGCCCAGCCCCGGAAGGCTGCTCTGCTTCTGCTGCCCCCAGCTGGCATGGAGCCTCCTTCTCTGACTGGCAAGCCTGGCGGAGCCCTGGCCCAGTGCCAGTTGAGCTTATGATACCAGGCCTACCTAGCATGTCCCTTGCAGCTCTATCCATAGGGCTGGGCTCTGATTTTTCCTCCCAGTGGAGGTGGATGCATTGCAGCGTGGGTGCAGGCTTCCTATGGCCAGCAGCAGATGCCATTCAGGGACAAGTCTGCTGCTCCAGGGCCCTTTGGCACCTTCCCCTCTCCCTCCAGCGCTAGCATGGATGCCAGCCCCGTATGGCCAGGGATTTGGAGATGGGAGATTGGTTCTTTCCCGCATTGCACAGCCCTGGGAGCTGCAGAGCAGCTCCGGTGGGATCTCTCTGCAGCTTTTGCGCGTCTCCCCAGCCTGAGCCTTCTCTGTGCCTCAGTTTCTCCTCTGGACATGGGCACTAGCAGCACCAAGAGCTGCCAGTGGAGAGGGCCGTGCACTCACAGGATGAGCAGGGGCTTGGCAAGACAACTTGGGGCTCGACAGGAAAGTGAGGGTTAACCATGAGCTCAGAGACCCTCTGCTTATGCAAAGGGTTCAACGCTGCCCTGCTCTGCTCAACACAGCCGCCTGGTGCCAAGCAGCGGGTTTTGAGGAGGGGGCCTGGGAGGGGGCACATCAGGGCCTGACAAACGGAGCAGGAAAGAGCGCAGGGACAGGAGACAAGTCCTTGGCAGGGGAAGGCAGCCGGGCTGCCGAGTGCCGGACCATTTGGCAAGCGGCACAAAGCAGCCTCTGTGTGAGCCCACGGCCCTCCCCGCTGCACCCTTCCCGCTGGGAAACGGCACAGCGCAGCTTTCTGGGGCAGACTGGCAGCCGGGGCCTGGGGAGGGGAGTGTGTCCCGCGCTGCCAGGCCCACAGGGTCACCGAGGAGATCCACCTTCCCGGCAGGCGATAGGAGGATGCACTCGACACGGGGCCACAGCCCTCAGCTCCCCCCTTGGACCTTCTGCCAGGCATCTGAAGTGCTGTTAGTCCCCTTTGCGAGGCCTGCGCCACGTTCCGCGCAGCACTCGCCCCGCGGTGCCAGGGTCATGCCAGGACTCCGGCCGGCTCGCCTCTGCTGGCAGGGCTGGCAAGGCTCCTGCCACGGCGCTGGGCCCTGGCAGGTCGCCCCAGGACACTGCCGGGTGGGCAAAGCAGGTAACGTGGCCTGGGAGCAGTGCCTGGGAGGGGAAACTGAGGCATGGAGAATGCCAGGAGATGGGCTGCCGAGCATGAGGTACTCAGCCCAAGGAGGCCTCCGGCGCCCGCTGCAGGGGAGGAGAAAGGGCCGCAGAGCAACCGCTGGGCCACGATTTATCCCCTCTGCTAGGCCTCAACCTGGGCCTAAATCCAGGCGCAAACAAGCCTGCCAACACGTCCAACCGCCGCTGTTAACCCTGTGCATTCCCAGGGCTGCCACGAGGGGCCAAGGCCGCCCTGCCACAGAGCTCCACGGCTCCGGGACGGGGTGCAGAGAGCCCTTTGGCGCAGGGCTCTGCTGCCGGCCACCCGCTTCGGCCACGTCTGCAGGAGGCCGCGCTGCTGCCCATGCACCCGCCCAGGCCAAGGGACGCCCTGGCTGCCGCCACGTCCGCCTCTCCCGCCACTAGCCGGGGCCCGTGGGCCCCAGCGAGCTTCAAAACTCTCCTGTGCAGGCCCGTTCTTCTCCCAGGTTATAATTATACCTCTGAGGGGTTCAGGAAATACCAGCGTCTGCCCCAAACACCTCTCAGAATAGCAAGTGAGATGGGCTCATTGCATATGCAGCGGCGTTAGCGTCAGGCCCGGAGGTGTTTTCTCCGACCACGCGGAGCTGGCACAGCCCTGAGCCACGCTCAGCACCAGTGGCTCAGCGGCACCGGGCCTTCACTCCCTGCCTGGCAGTCAGCCCTGGGGCTGTCGTGGCATCACCTGAGGTCAGGGTGCTGCCGGCAGGGCCTCTTTGCGGCACCCGGGCAAGTGAGGATTGTGGAGAGACGCAATGTGAGTGGGGAGGGGAAGGAGAGACGCTTCGATCAGGCAGAGCGTGCCCATCGTGGGAATTGTTTGCCTTGTGATAAGGCTCTCCAGAACAGTAAATAGATTGCATGGAGGGGCTGTCTATGGCAGGCAGCCCCACGCCCTGCGCATGTGCGGGGGGGTGGGTGGCTTTCTGAGGCTTGCCGCGGGGAGCGTGACACTCAGCATGGCTGGGGAGGTGATTAAAGGCAGCCCTTGCAAGGCTGACCGTGCAGCAGATGCTGAAGCTGTGCACCCCGGCACATGTGAGCACGTTTGGCCCCCAAGACCCATGGCTTGGCCGCGTGCAGGGCTGCAGCAGCACAGCCAGGGGCCAGAGTGGTGCGTCAGGCCTGTGCGAGCTCCCGTGGGGCAAGCAGCAGCTTGTCAGCTCCAATCTGCTCTGCTGCCCATCACGGTGGCTGCTGGTCTGCCAGCGCCCGCGCACACGCATGTGGGCACCCCAGAGCAAGCAGCCAAGAGACAAATCTGAAACACCGAAGCAATGGCCCAGAAAGACCCGTCCAGCCACAGATAGTGCTCTGAGCCAACTCCAAGCACCGTGACAGGCTCCAGGGAAGGACCTGGTGGCTGCTGCCCGCCACTTGTGCAAGCAGTGGCACAGAGCACGCTGGACCAGAGACGTATCCTGGGGGTGCTGTGCCACAACACTGCAATATGCAAATGCTCCCAGTTTTCCCACTCCAGTGGCCCCAAGTGCACCTTAGGGCTCTGCACAGAGCAATCCATGTGAGGACTAGGTTCAGTCCTCCTGCTGCTGGCCCCAGCTGGCAGCTCCTCTGTCCCCCACTCTGCTGCACAGAGCATGGGCACATGCATGGACACGGAACCACCCCAATGACCTCTTCCCTGGGGCTGGAGTTGAGTCAGCTGCATTGATTTTCAGGCATGAATCTCCAAGATGGAGCCAGCGAGCTCTCCCTATACTGTCTGGACAGCAAGGGCATGTGATAAATCCAACCCTAATGGAATCTCACGGTTGACCTGGTAGGGAGCAACAACTCCACGAGCTCAGTTGTTGCTCTCCTGGTGGCTGGTGCTGATGTCACTGCACCTGGTGACACTGCGTACAGCCCTGCGCAGGACAGCATGGGGATGATGCCCACCCCAGAAGCTCTCCAGTGCAGCCAGCCTGTGTGCTTGGGGACCACACAGATGCTCAGCAACATCCTGCCACATTGCCAGGGCTGGGGATGTGCTATGGCCCCCACTACGGAAAACACTGAGCTTTAGGCACAGGATGGCACGCACATACCCCTCCTGCCAGCCTGGCATGCCATCCACCCCTGCCCAGGTGTCTGTGTGTGGGAGGAGGTTGCTTTGGTCTCGCACTACGCATCCTGGCCAGCACAGAGCCCTGCCCTTCCTCACTAGGCTTTGCTCCAAAAGGCCCTCGTCCCCAGCCATGCACTGGCAGACAGCATGCAGTCCTGAGCCTCCCTAGCAGCATCCGGCTGGCAGCCAGACTACCCCAGCTGCCAGGGCACCACCATAGGGGACCTTAGTCCTGGAAAATGCCAAACCTCTGCTGAACACCTCACTAGCCACTGACTTCATTTAAAAATGCAGAAACCCCAGCACAGAGCAAAGCGCAACCTGGAGCAAGACCTGGGAGGTTCCAAGTTGGAGTAACTTCACCCAGCAGCTCTCTGCAATCTGACCTGGGCATTTCAGACAGGGCTGACATATGGCTGGAAGACATATATCATGCCTGAAAAGCCTGTGTCTTGGGAAGTGCCATGCTATTCTGGTTCCGCAGCACAGCGCCAACAGCATGCGAGCTCTAGGGCCCGTGGGAGCTCTCTGCGCTGTCTGGGCATGCCAGAGATGAGCCACACTGTGTGCCAGGAGACGTGGAGAGGAACCTGGCCCCTGCTGGGCAGCTCCAGTGGCCTTGGGCCACCTACCTGTGGCTGGGTGGGCTTCTCTGGGCAAGCTGCTCAGCCCCTGCCTTGGACGGCCTGAGTGGGCCAGCACTGCACCCACATAGGCCTGGGCTGCTCTGCGCTGGGCCTGTCACTCCGTCACGGTGACCTCACTAACCCAGGATGTTGGCGCAGATCCCATGAGGAAGGATTTCTTGGGTCCCACGAGCGACGCTTTTCAGGGATCCCAGTGGACTCCCAGATTCCACTGCTGCAGATGTCGGTGGGAGGGCGCGACATGCAAGTGTGGGAGGAACCACTTCCCACCAGCAGCCTGGAGGGCCACATGGCCCTCACGTTCCCACAGCCGATGGTGAAGGCAAGGCATCTCTGCAGCAGGCTGCACACTTGGAGGGTCCCCACAGCAACCAAGAACCCCAAATTTCTACATGAGGTAGTGGGCAGACACTGGCCTGAACTGGGGAGCTCTGCAGGGTGGCCGGGCAGGATGCTCAATCCTCCATCTCTTTTCCGTCCGCAGATGAATCCCTGTTAATCCTCCCCAGCTGGGGCTGTGGAAATGGGACCATTACGACTGGTAATCCGACTTTAGCATGATGCCTGGCACAGCTGCCATGCTGCGTGCTCGCCACCAGGTACGCCCCATCAGCCTCCACAGGCTGGGGGCCGGCAGCAGTGACCCCTCTCTGTGCTGGCCTGCCCTGGAGGCTGTTCA